CGCCAGGATGGCCCGGGAAGGCCCCACGACTGCCCAAAGGCCCCCCAGGACAGCCCAAGAGGGCCCGGGAAGGCCCCAACAAGGACTCGCGATCGTCGTCGCCGTCGCCGTCGTCGTCGTCGTCGTTCATCGCCCCCCTTCAGGGTCGGCGGCATCGGCCGTAAGGCCTTCGCAATAAAAAACATCGACACATGCGATGGCGCATGAGGGCAGCCGGGCCCGAAGAACATGCCAGCCACCGCGGCCGCCGCCGGCGAGGACGCAGTCGCAGCAGCGGGCTCCGCCCAGGACACTATCGCGTCGGGACATCGACTCCGCCGTCGCCACGCGAAGGCGGCGGGAGGGCGTCGGCCCACCCGCCCGTCTCAACGTCGGAAACTTCCGCACCGCCGACAGCCGCTGCCGCCGCTGCACGCAGTGGCCCGTGGCCCTCGCCCGCCGCTCCGGCCGCCAGTGCCAGCGCCGCGCCCGCCCCGGGCGGACCACCGCCATCGGCCGTCGCCTGCTGCCGCGCCGCGAGGCGCAACCGCTGGCGTCGGCGCCGCCGCCGCGCCGCCTGGGCCGCCTCCTCAGCGGCAGGCGCCGCCGCGCGCAGCCGCTGGGGGGAGGCTCGACAGCCGCCGCGTGCGCCAGCACCGCCGTGGCCAGCTCGGCGCGCCCCGACAGCGCGAAGAGCACTGCCGAGGCGGCAGAGCGAGCCACGGCCACCGCCGCGCGCCGCGGCGCCGGGGCCCAGACGGCGACGCGCACCGCGGCCTCCACCAGGGAGTCGGGCGTTCATTACTGGGAGGGGCGTTAAGAGGGGGGTGAGATATGGAGAAATGTGCACCTTTCGCGCACGGCAAGAAAGGTGCACCTTTCTTCACCCCCCACCCATCGCCCCCCCTCCCATTACGTAACGCCCGAGGGAGGCGGCCGCCAGCGCCGCCATCCAGAGGGGCAGCAACGCCGTGCGGACGCCTGGGCCAAGACGGCTTGAGCCAGAATGGCTGCGGAGGGAGGGGAGAGGAAAGAGACGGCGGATGAGGAGGATCCTGGGAGGATGCGTCAGGGGTGAAGAGGGCAGGAGGGAGAATTGAGGAGGGATGTGGGAGCGGGGTGGGAAGCGAACGGGATGATGCCCCAGAGAAACTCGTGGCCCGAACGTTGAAAAGGGAACACAAGTAGGAGGACGAGGAGAAGGGAGGAGAAGGAGAAGGAACATCAGGAAGAGTAGTGAGGCAGGAAGGCTGCAATAAACGAAGAAGAGAGAGAGGAAAAACTTCAGCAGCCGCAGGAGCGACGAGCAAAAACAAGCACCACGCGAATTGGGGGCACAGGATGGCTCTGGGGAAGTGCGCTGTGCTCAATGGAGACTCCCTCTGAATCCCACTAGGCCCAACCAAACCCCCTGGATATTTTCTTCCCCGCATCACTTATCCCGGCACTCCCTCATCCTACTCCTCCAGTTGCTCATACAATTTATCCTCATGCATCTTTGTGACTCTCCTTCTCCTCTTCTTCCTCCCAGGGAGGACCTCCCTGCCTCTTGGGCTTCGTCTCTCTCTCTCTCTCGCTCGCTCTCTCTCTCTCTCTCTCTCTCTCTCCCTCTCTCTCACACACTGAACATCTGCGCCAAGGTCGGGCCCCCATTCTCGCGGTGGGGCTTCAAACAATCACGGAGTTCCATAACACATGAGTGCCCCCACGCAAACGCACACATGGTTCCACATGCACGCGATACGCATAGGGCTCCACGCTCATGGGGCTCCACACGGATTAGTTTCCACACGCACGGGGTTCCACACACATACACACACGGGGTTCCATGCACATGGAGTTCAGCCGCACGCATGGGGGTAGACATTTTGCACGAATGAAATGGTTGGGTCCAAGCACTGGCAGAATTGGAATATTAGCATTTCCTGAGGATTCGGATGTTCCGGAGGCTTCTGGGGAGGGAGGATGCGGAACAAGAAGAGGACTAGAAGGATGGGGAGGGAAGGGATGGAGAGATGAGGGAGGAGAAGGTACTCAGGGGATGGCGGAAGTTCTCAAGGGTTCCACTGTGATTTACAATGTCAGGTGCGTTGCAGCATGTGCGGTTCCTGGGTTTACTCTGGTCCTTCTCCCCTCCTTCTCGTCATCTTGGTTTCCATCCCCGCCCACCCGCCTCTTGGTAGCTCACACGGACTGGCGGTAGCAGCCAGATCCCCCCATGAAACACGAGCAGGCCATACAGCCCAGAAGAGCAGATTGAGCAGATAGAACAAAGAAGGGCACGCAAACAACAACCGAGGCGAAATGAGGACATCTCACGTCACCTCGAGGAGTCCTCATTGAATCGGCCTCGGGAGTCCTCACTGAGAACACAAAACGCCGCTGGTGATGAGAACGATGCTTTTTATTCCACGCGGCGGCCGTCTTACGCTCCGCTAAGACGGGGCAGCCGCCACAAGGAGTCTGGGCCGAAAATCCTCTATGCGAAGCCTGCTCCCGACCTCCCTCTTCGAACTGCGGGGTGAGAGCTGAACACGGGCACGATGTCACGCTACACTGCTCATGTCCAATATAGGGCGGATTTTCGGCGGACGATTCCTCCAAACTGCACCTCTTCCTCGTAATCCTCTGAGTTCCTCCTCTTGAGTCCACAACCATGACCGCCCCTCGCAGAAGGCATCGAGATAGGGCCAATGCAGCGACATGCGTCGAGGTCGTCCGAAGTTTCGTCAAAGGAAGACGTCTAGCTCGCGGATCAACTTAGGGCAATCGGTAACCCCTGGTCTCACAGACTCCACCTTCTCGTCGCGTTGAGTTCCTTCCGTTTGTTTCCTGAGGTACCACCTGTCACGGAAGCTTGCGGACAGACGAAGAAACTCGACATACGCAAATAAACAAACAACAAACAACAACAAAAACAAACAAACAAACAAACAAACAAACAAACAAACAACATGTGTCTCATATGTCCGACTCCGGAAGCCTCGGGCACGCCAACACTCCGGCGTTGGCTCCTCCTGGGTGTTCTGCCTCTGCTTCCGCCAAATTCCACCAACCCGCCAAAGGCTTCCGTCAACAGAACCCGCCGGCTGCCACGGGCCTTCCGCCAGCCTCCGCCGAGGCCGAGAGGCCGACGCTGCAATTCCTCGAGGACGATGCTCTCTTTGGAACGCCCTACCTACACAACACAATAGATTTGGCGTCTTGACAACAATGTGGGGTCTGCGCCGCGCGCTGCTCACAGGAAGGAGCCACGTCTGTCAGCAATCGCCTCGGAAAGACAGGTAACTTCATGTCTTCTTTCTTTTTCTTCCTCCACCTCCTCCACCCGTCCCCGATCCCTTTCCTTCAACACTCCTGTGCTTCCTCCTCCTGAGGAGAAGGAGGAGGCAGCGGAGAAGGATGAGGCAGGGAGGAAGAGGAGACGGGAGGAAGAGGAGAAGGATGACGAGGAGGAGAATCTGCTCCTCCTCCTCCTTCTATTCCTCCTTGTCCCCTCCTTCCTCCCTTCCTCCCTCCCTCCGCTGCCCTCCTCGTCCAAGGAGGAGTGCGAACATCGGGGCGGCGCGGGGGGCTTCGCGCAGAGGGTGGCATCGGTCACGCGCACTGCGGGCTCCCAATGCAGGAGGAGGGAGGCCGGAGGGAGGGAGGCTTCTTCTCTTCAGCCCCCTCCGTATACCTCCTCCTCCTCCTTCCATCGCGTCCTTCCACCTCCTCCTTCTTCTCAGCTCCTCGGCTCCTCCTCCTCCTCCTCCTCCTCCTCATCATCATCATCATCACAAGCATCATCATCAGCATCATCATCATCAGCATCGTCATCATCATCATCATCATCATCATCAGCATCGTCATCATCATCACAATTTCATCAACAGCATCACCCGCATCATCCGCATCATCATCGTCCTCCTCAAGTTCATAAGCATCATCTTCACAAACATCATTATCATCATCATGACCGTCTCCGTCACCATCACCATCACCCTTACCACCACCATCATCATCATCATCATCAGCAGCAGCAGCAACATCATCAGCGTGAACATGAGAATGAACATGAACATCAGCACCACAATGATCCGCATCAGCCTTCCCATCCTCATCATCCTCATCATCACCATCGTCCTCATCCTCCTCATCACCATCATCAACATCAGACACATAACTTTATCCACAATCGGCATCATCATTATACTCATCGTGATGATGATCATTCACATCGTCATCCTCGTCATCACCGATCAACATCACAACGAATCATGGTCGTCGGTAGAATCATTACCCGCATCACAATACGCATCATCATAATCAACAGCAACATCATCATCACCACCATCATCACCATCACCCTCATCGTCATCATCATCATCAGCATCATCATCGTCATCATCGCCATCATCACCACCACCAACACCATCACCATCACCATCACCATTCTCATCATCATCATCATCATCATCATCATCATCATCATCATCATCATCATCATCATCATCATTGTCGGCATCAACATCAGCATCAACATCAACATCAACATCATCATCGTATTATTCTCATCATTATCAGTATCATCGACCCTGGGGTCCTAAAAGTGTTTGCGGGTTCCCGGCACGCAGGCAATAGAGCTAGGACGGGAAACCAATGGGAGCGAGAAAGAGGAAAGGATGAGGAGTAAAAGGTAGGGGGGAAGAGAGGTATCGATGGGGTTCCTGACAGATTCTGGTGGTCATTGGATGCTTTCGGCGAGTTGAGGTGGAGGGAGGTGGAGAGACGCGCGAGCAGGAGAGAAGTGCGGGAGTGGGGGAGGGAGAACGAAGCGAGGAAGCGAGGGAGTTGGGTGGGGAGGAGGCGGCACGGAGGCGAGAGCAAGGGAGGACGGCGAGGAGGACGTGCAACGGAGCTCTTACTCGGCTTCCCTCAGGTTGATCGTAGAGATTGTAGCTGCAATGAGGGGGGAACGAGGGGGAGCGAGGAAGCGAAGGAACGGTGGAGGAAACGCAAGGCAATGGCACGGACAAGACTCACGCCGCGCCCGGCTTCCTCCGCTTCTTCGGGTTGCCTCCCGCGCGGACCCCGTCGCCGGCTCTGGCAGGCTCCTATGGAAGATGGCCAGGGAAACGAGGAGGACAGGGGGAGAAGAACGAGGAGGAGCACAGGGGGGATGATAAGGAGACGCCACTGGAGAGGATGGCCCCATGGAGATACAAAAATGGCAGTTAGCTGGCCCATGCTGCTGTAACTGCATCCGCCGCTCCTCATGTATAGATCCGGCAGGGGAGGACAACTTGGGAGGCATATCGCCCAAAAAGAAAACGATAAACTGATGGAAGAGAAACGGCGAAAGAAAATGAGGATTGCCATAGGAGCCGCGCCAGCTCAGACGGGGCAGGGCAGAGAGGGACCAAGAAATCGGTTTCGGTTTCGATTTCTGTCGTGCGTGACGTGCGTACAAGCGAAACGAAGCGAGGCGAAACTGCGCGAATTCCTGCTCTACTGGAAGCCAAAACGGACCAAAATGAGACGCCCCGGCCCGACCGGAATGTGTTGCCCCGAACGACGGTCGCCCCGACGGATGTCCCGAAGGGTGTCCCGATGGTTGTCCCGATGGTTGTCCGAACGGTTGTCCCGACGGTCGCCCCAATGGTTGTCCGACGGTTGCCCCGATTGGTGTCCCGATTGTTGTCCCGAGGGTTTTCCCGATGACTGTCTCTTTGGTTGTGCCGATGGCTGCCCCGATGGTTGGCCTGATGGCGATCGCGGTGGCTGAACCCATGATTGTCCTGACGGTTGTCCCGACGCACAGGTCTTTATATACTTGCTGTTTGTTGCCGCAGGCCTCTATGTTTCTTGCGGTTTGCCGCTTGCCGCAAACAGAAAACAATGTGCGCGCCGCTTGCCGCGCCGTCTATTTTGCCGCTAGCCTTTGCCTAAAGCAGCTTGCCACAAACGTCGCCTCCTTCACGTGACCCCACCGCACCGCCCAGAGCGAATCCAGGACTCGTACGTCCTTTTCTGGACCCCGTGTTGCCGCGTCCATTCGCTGGCCTTTCTATTGCTGGTTTTCCCTTTGGTCCGCCACCTGCACGGTCACCACTTCCTCGAAACATGACTCGCGCAGTGCTCTGGGGTGGTGGGGACGGCGGCTGCGTCGCGACCATGACAGGGTAGAACCCCCCGGCCAGTCTCATGTCATTCATATTCCCCCAAGCGTCGGTGTGTGTGGCCATGATATCGTCGTGCTCGTCCACGCTGCATGTTGCCTGGTCTGGTTGCTGCATGTTGTCCGCGTCGTTGTAGTGGCCGGCTTCGCTGTCGAAGCCGCTGGCGCCTCTTTGTTCCCTTAAACATTCGCCATCGCTGTCGTTGTAGTTGGGGTACTCCTCTTCCTCGCCGTAGTACGCCTCCTCTGGGCACTCGAGGGCCAGGTTGTCCTTACACTGGCTCATGATGAGCTGCTTGCCTTCTTTGTCTAGCCCGGCTTGCCGAAGGAAGAACCATCCAAGCATTTTGTTCGGGAAGGTTGCGTCGTGGGTCCTGTTCTTCCTTTCCCCTATGCAGATAGTCGATCAGGGACCCCTTGGATCTGCGAGCCACTCAAAAAGAAAATATCGAAGTCAGTCGGCAGCTCCGCTATCTGGTCAAACTTCTGAGCGCTCCAGGGCCTTCCGGATGAACATCAAACCCTTCCCCTGCTCGATCTCGTTGATATCCAGGCCTTCGATCGCACATTACGTCGTTGAACTCTCTCGGTTATGATCGCACATCCTCGTAACCCTCCTCGACTACCGCCCTGCGCGCTGAGGAAAGATACGCGCTCCTGTTGCCAAGTCTGCCAAGTGCGAGAGGCCGTCCGAACTGACTCAGCCGAAACAGCGTCAGAACATAAATGTGCTACTGTGCTACACTGCCCTGCTGTGCCTGCTGCTACGCACGCTTGCATACTGGGATCGGGGGAGCGTGTGTTCTAACAGCTCATGTAAAAAATCACATGAACACACGTAATATGGAAACCCATTCAAAGGGCCCCCACACACAGCACATACCCAGGCCTACTCCGATATACTTACGAGTGTACAACTATGTACCGACAGATCGCTAGATGGGAAGAGCGACTGCGACAGGTAGATAAAGTCTCACCTTTTATGGCCCGATCGATGTGTCCACTCGTGGATTAAATCTTACGCTTAACGTGCAACAAAACTGTCGTCATCCCCCAACAAACGTCCTTCTCACCAGACGGGTGGCCTATGACGTATCAAGTTCCACTAGCCCTCGGGGCGTACGTGGTTTGACGGATGTTGTCTTCTCCCTCTCTCTGCCAACACTCCTCCTTCCCTTGCTCGACGGACTGCTGATCACTATTAATATACACGCCCTCCCCCCGGCGACCGGCAGCCAGCCAGGAACATTGAGGACCCCATGAGGGCCCCCCACCATCCCTGTCGAAACAACATTACAACGCACACTTTGGGGCAAAGTCTGGGGTCATGTTCGTGAGGCCCGCGAGCACTTTGTATTGTTTTGTTGAGAGGGACGGCGGGGTGTCAGAATATCACTTGCTGCGCGCATGGCTTCCATCCCTGACAAAAACATACAACATGCACCTCGCGGCTAAATCTTGATCATGCGCGGCCAACCCGCGGTCACTGTCAAGTGGTGGCGCATGGCCTGCTGTGCGCAGGCCCACCAGACGCTTGGTTTTCGACAAGGATGGTGGGGCCCGACATGTTTCCCGATGTTCGCTGACACGTGCGCAGGCGCACCCAGCACACTCTGCACGTGCCCCGAACGTGGCGCACCTGGCGCGCGCGGCTGGAGTATGCGACACACCTGGCGCACGCGGAGGTACGTGGCGCTGGGGCACCAGGCGTGCCTGGCACGCTCGGGCCCCAGGGATGCCTGGTACGCATGGCGCACCTCGCCCCAGCGTCGCGCACCCGGGGTCGGTTTTGGTTCCCAGTAGCTGTCCATCCAAAGACGACCGCTGCACATGCTCAGGCTTGGGTGCTACTTATGTGTTGGGAGGGCGGGTGGGAGTGAGCTAGACGGCTTGCTATCAAGGAGGGTGTCTTGCCCCCTCCCCCGACCCCTCCTCTAGGCCTGTGAGGGGGGGGGCGCGAGGCGATGGCTCCAAGAGGGCCTCAGAGTGCCTGAAATGGCCTCCAAGATGAGTCGAGATGTCTCAAGACGGTTCAAGATCGCCTCCGACACACATCCAAGAGTCCTCAAGGCGGCCCCAAGACGGTGTCGCGTGCCCTCCGAGTCCTCTAAGGGCCCCCCCCAAAGATGCCAAAATGGCTTCAAAACCAATGAAACATCTTTGGGTTCTCCCCTCTCGCCTTGTCGCGTCCGATGGGCCCCTCAGGCCCCAAGATAACCCCAACACAGCCCAAGAGAACCCCAAGAGGGGCCCAAGAGGGCCCCAAGAGCGCCCCTAGAGCGCCCCGAGACGGCCCCAAGACGCAATGGTTGAGCGTCCGAGAGGGGGGGGCTGAATTGAGGATCCCCTGCCTCATTTTGAACAGTGTGCTCAAAATTGCATCAAGAGGCCTCCCAGACCCTCCCTGAAGAGCCCCAAGAGGGCCCCTAGACCCCCCAAAAGCGTCGCAAGAAGGCCCCAAGATTGCCTCAAGTGATTCCGCGAGGACCCAAAGAGAGACCCAAGATGGCTCCAAGAGACCTCCGAGAAATCGCTCCCAAGGCGGTTGTTACATCGCATGCTTCTGCACTTCTCTGATCAAGGCAACTCGCCTGGTTCTCTGTGTCTAGATGACAATATCCTCCCTACTGCGCATAATTGTTGGAGGGTTGGTAAGAGTGACAGCAGCGCGCATGATACTGGCAGTGGCAGTGGTAGCGGCGGTGATTGTGGTGGCGGTGACAGTGGTAGTGGAAAGAGCAGTGGTAATGAAAGTGGTAGCGATAATGGCAACAGTAGCAAGAGGAGCAAAAAGATAGCGAGGTGGAACAATGTACTGGGTAGTGCCAGTGGGAGTCGTGATCGGCAATCCCACCAGCCCTCTGGGCGTAGGTGGTTAAACTAATGTGGTTTACTCGCTCTGCCAGAACCCCTCTTTCCCATGCTCGGGGGAGGGGCTTACCACTATTCACTATTAATACGCACCCCCTTCCCCCCCTGGCCAGCGGCCAACCCGGAACCATGCCGACTCCATGCGGGCCCGCCCTCCACCATTCCTGTCAAAGCACTATACAAACCGTAATCTGCCTTCATATTTGGAGCATGCGCGGCCAACCTGGTGCGCCCCCCCAGCCCTGTCAAACAATAATGCCAAGTACACTTTGGGGCAAAGTCTGGAGTCATGTTCGTGAGGCCCACGAACACTTTGTATTGTTGTTGACAGGGACGGCGAGGGTGCCAACATATCGCCTGCTGTGCGCAGAGCTACCATCCCCGGCAACAAAAATACAACATGCACCTCGCGGCTAAATCCGGATCGTGCGATCATGCGCGGCAATCCCGCGATCACTGTCAAATAGCTGTTGACAGGGATGGCGGGGGTGGTGGCGCGTGGCCTGCTCTGCGCAGGCCCACCAGACACAATGATGGGCATTAGTTTTCGTCAAGGATGGCGGGGGCCGACATGTTTCCCAATGTGTGCTGCCACGTGCGCAGGCGCACCTGACGCACTCTGCACGTGCCCCGAACATGGCGCACCTGGCGCGGCTGGAGTGTGCGGCGCACCTGGAGCACTCGGAGCACGTGGCGCATCTGGCGCACTAGGCGTGCCTGGCACGCTCGGGCACCAGGTGCCTGGCGCACGACGCGCCCCTGGCACGCGTGGCGCACCTCGCCCAAGCGCGGCGCACCCGGGGTCGGCTTTGGTATCCAGTAGCTGTCCATCCAAAGACGACCGCTGAACATGCTCAGGCTCGGGTGTTACCTTTGTGTTTGGAGGGCGGGTGGGGGTGAACTAGACGGCTTGCGGGCCGGTGGGTAGCTTGACCCCTCCCCTTACCCCGTGCCGGGGGACTGGGAAGGGGGGGGGGGTAGTTAGAGCGACCAAGATGACCCAAGGTGGCCCCAAGAAGGCCTCAAAGAGCCCGAGATGGCCTCCGAAATGGCTCCAGGTACCGG